CTGGCTCCACCTGAACCTCCATCTCCTCCCTGTGAACTTCTGATACCAACACCTCCAGCTGCTACTGAGCCTGCTGCTGTAGCTCCATCTGTTGGACCTCTTGAACCTGCTGTCCCTTCACCTCCACCAGTGGAATCAGCACCACTTTCACCCACCATTGAGTCCACACCAGTTACACCAGTAATCCCACTCTGTCCTGTGGATTCACCTCCGGTCGACGCTGCAGTTTTAACTCCGCTGGTGGAGACAGCTCCAGTGGAGCCTGTGGTTGTGTCTCCTGTGGTTGAAGAAGTGCCTCCAGTGGTGGCTCCAGCTGTTGAACCGACGCCTCCGTGTGACCTGCTTCCACCTCCATCTCCTCCAGAGCCAGTTGAAGCGCCCCCTGCTGCTCCAGAGCTCTCGTTTGAGGAAACCCTCCCGCCCTGTCAGTGTGTGGAGCTGGCTGTTGTGCCCACTGCTGCACCTGTAGATGTGCCCCTTCCAGAACCTGTAGCTCCACCTCCTCCTGAACCAGCTCCACCTGCTGAGGAGCCCACCGTGACCCCGTCTTTGCCCCCGGTTGTGGAGGATGAAGTACCTGTTGTCACCACAGTGCTGCTGCCTGCAGCAGGTGAGTTGGTTCCATGTTTATAACCATATCTAGTGCTGACTGATGCATTTCTGTGCCGCTGTGCTTGCTGTAAGTGCTTGACTGATAAGTTCATTCATGCAGATGCAGATAGAGATACTGCACATGGCACAGCTGAGCTCAGATCCCAATTGCTGGAACAAAAAAGACATCAAACATGCGGTGTTCCGGTCCCAATTGTGACTGTAATAAACCCACTTCCAGAGGGGTACAATTTATAAAACATTAGATCTACAACAGGGCTATTCAACTAAAATTCAAAGCGGTCCAGTCAGAGAAAATCTGTTAAAGCAAAGGTCCGGAACATCATAACATCTAACTTGAGTTTGTGTGATATATGTTGATGTAGCCAAGTAGGGCCATTGTCTCCGTGTCTTTGTCTTCTCTCTCTTTATTTTTCTTTGTTTCTATCTTCTTCTCTTAACTCTCATCTGTAGGCAGAGCTGCAACGTTTAGTGCCTGGAATGCAGGGTCTTTGTCACATGGGATGGCTGGACTCCTATGTAATTGGTCTTTGCGTTTTCTGATGTGCTTAACTAATGCCGTAAACACTAGAGAAGCTGCACCGGTTAAAATAGAAGCATCTGAGCCACTTAAGCTTCGGAGTGGTCGTAGGTGTCTTGGTGGCCTCCCTCACCGGTCTTCTTCTTGCACAGTTACTCAGTTTGTGAGGACAGCCTGCTCGAGGCAGATTTAAACAAGTGCCTTGCTCCTTCCATTTCTTCATGAAGGATTTAACTGAACTCCGTGGGATGTCCAGTGAGTTGGAAATCTTTCTGTAGCCACCTCCTGACTTATACTTTTCAGCTATCTCTTCTCTGAGTTGCCTGGAGTCTTCTTTTGTCTTCATGCTGCAATTGCAGCAGGGATACTGATAAACCCGAGGCTGGACCTCCCAGACACAGCTGTTTTTATACTACAATCACTTAACACACATCAGCTGCACTCAGATGATCTCTGTTTCACTCATTGTGACACTGCTGGCATCAACTGGCTGCACTTCTGTTGAATCAGGTCAGCCACTTTAAAGGGGGTGAGTATTTATGCAAACACTTATGTTACATCATATATTTCAATTAATT